AATACAATAAGAATATATGCTAAAAGTACATTCACATTAAATAGTTTGATAGAAGGAGCCACCTATTGATGACACTTTCTATGGTTATTAATTATTTACTTAATACATTTTTTTTTTTAATATAACAAATCACGACACCACTTGTGCTTTAGGCATAGAATCGTTTATAGAAACAAAATAATAATTGTACATTTATAATATTAAACTCATTAATGACCCTTGGATATAATGATTTTTAAAAAGTATGATCAAAGCAACAAGTAATTTTATAATATTCTATAACATGTAATTTTATGTTACGTATAGTAATGGAAATGCTGGTAAGAATAATTTAAGTATTGCTTAAATAAGTCAATTAATGTTAAACAGTCATTAAACCTGTGCTTACTTATTAATAATAATATTATATTATAAACCTATATAAATATGTATGCATTATAGTTAAAATCAGATGTTGTTGTTAAATATGATATCCAATAAAGTGTTTTATCATTTGTATTTTCTTATTAAAAATAAATATTAAAGTTAAAATTAAATTTACTATTACAATTTTAGATGTGATGGCGTTGGTCATATAGCTCGTGACTGTTCTCAATCTGCTAGTGAACCATCATGTTACAACTGTCGTAAAACAGGACATTTGGCTCGCGAATGCCCAGATGAACGCGCAGAACGTGGTATGGGCGGTGGAATGGGTGGTGGTGGTAGCAGTTCAACTTGTTACAACTGTAACAAAATAGGACATTTTTCCAGAGACTGCATGGAAAGCAGGTAATTATCATATACAACTAGTAAATAATAACTAAATTTTTACTATTGAATGAATATTTAATTTAAACTTGCCTTTAAAAATTATATATAATTTACAATTTATTCCTTAAAAATTATATTCATATTAAATATCTTATATTATAAAACATTAAGTTAAAAATGATAATATTTTTATTATTATTACATTTATAGACATATTTAAATCTAAATATGTTTTTATAATTCTGTATATTAACATTTATTTATTTTAATGATAATCTTGTTTTAGAAATGGTTCTGGAAACTATTCGGCCCTTTGTCGTAACTGCAATCTTTCTGGACATATGGCTCGTGATTGCCCAGAGGGTAACAAACAAAGTTGTTACAACTGTGGTGAACAGGGACATTTAAGTCGTGAATGCCGCAAGCGTAACTAGTTCCAGAGTTTTTACATCTATTATAATTATCACAATTTTCAAATTCGAAGCCAGGAAAAAAACAAGGATAAACATATATCAAGAAAAATTATAACAAAATCTTCTTGTTTAACATTCTTCTATTAATAGTGGCAGCATTTTTTTTTTTATAAACAATCATATTATTCACAATATATTTGTGAGAATTAAGTTTCTAAGTATGATTTTAAATTGAACAAAAAAAAATGTATATTAATAACAAACAAAAAATTAGAAAATTGTGAAAACAGTACATCTCAATGCTTATGTTTGTTCTCTGTCAGTGGGCCTGTTTTCTATATATAAATCAAACATTTATTGTATGTAAGGGATTTGTTATTGTGTATTGGTCTTATTTTTTTATTCAATAAAACCTGGCTACACCGAGTTTATATCATAGTGTTATCTTTAAGTTACATTTTTATGTAACCCACCAAGCATTTGTTAAGTCTTCTCCATATAATAGTATATACTTTTAGCCTTATTTTACTATTTCCTTACAAATTACAACAGTATGTTTATTACATATGGTGGTAAAATATCGGTCAAATTACTGAAAAACTAATAACAAAAAAAGATTAAATTTCAATTTTCAAAATTCCTAATAAAATATTAAAAAAATTTTATGAAATAATCTAATTTTATATTTTAACACAAATTAACAAAATACATTTAAAGTTCACATTTTAAATCTTGATGAAATAATAGTACTTGACTAACTTTTTATGGTTCTGTTGTTTTGCTTATTTTAAATATTATTACTTTGGTTAAGTATAATTTTGTAACATACATACAGAATATTAAATTAATATTTATTATTATGCAAGCATCATTACTATTTGATTAATTAATAATGAAATATTATTTTAATTTTGTTATAATTATTTATCATACACATATTAAACTACTTTGATGTCTGATTGTACCTTCAAAATATTTTGTTACTATAATACATATAAACAATAATATCTAATGATAATTGCCTTTTAATATGGTTATTAAGTTTGTTACAACTAATTATTTAAAATTCTATGTTATATCAATAATTACAAATTTAATTAACTAATCTAAAGGTAGAAGGTTAGAATTATATTTTGATATAAAAAAAAAATAATAATACTCTAAATACAAGTTTATTTTTATTTATTGAGAATATTATGTTAAAGTTAAAATATTGGTGATTGTTATTATTTTTATTTAAGTTAACAGATACAACTTACAAGTTGTTTATAAGGAAATAAAAATTATTAAGATATTAATTAATTTTCACACTTTTATAATCTAACTTTCTTTTACGTTTAGTTTTTTCATTTTATTCTTCAAATATGTTTATTTTATACCAAATGAAAAAAAATCAATTTGAACAAATAATTTTTGTTTTTATTTTAAATTTTAAATCATCTTAGTTAAAAATATAGATATGTGATTATGATAGTATTGATATTAAAATTAATGCGTATTTAGAAATCTGAGAATTCTTAAATTTTATAATTTTATAGAACTTAGTTATATTGTTTATCACACATTTTTCTATTCAAATATATATATTTTTTTACCTTAGATATTTATTATTTTTATAGTTAACTGAATTCATTACTGTATGTATTAGTAAACCAATGGTTAAAGATATCAAAATAGTATGTCGTGTACTCGTGTGTCAATCATGTTTTGTCCTTAACTCTGGGATAAATAATTTATTATTTGAAAATTTAAGTAACTCCTAAGTCATAATCTATATTTTGTGAAAAAAAAAACACTGACATTTCTTTTTATATCTTAAACAAAATTTAAATATTATAAATCTATTTCCATTTAATCAGGCGAAGACTGGCTATGTTAATAATTAACTCTGAGACCTTCACAAATAGTTTTATAAACTGCTTAATAACGTATCAAAACAAGAATGTGTCCAAAACTAATGGTTTAACAATTATTTTGCTAAATCCTATATGCTTTAACAAAAACTTGTAAGCTTTCCAACAATCTGACAAAATTATTAACCCTAGTCTTGTATATTTCTATGTTATATAAGGTAATTTAGGTAATAAAATTATTCGTATTGGTTTGAAGTTGGTACAGCAACGTACTAATATAGGTATTATGATATAAAATGTAGTTTTCCCATTTTTTAAAATAGATCTCCATCACGAGCTAAATACGATGATTGTAGGAACACGACTAGGAACTATAACGGTAAACTTTATGGAGGGGTGATAACAAACTAAACTAACGAGTACCTACCAAATGTTTTTAAACATAGTAGTTGGTACTTATTATATATTTTGTGTAAGATACTCGTAAGTTCAAACTTGATTTACCATTTGTCATTGCAATTAAGACTTTCTAAACAGTTTTACAATAAAATTAAAAAATCTATTGAAATTCATAAAATACCAGTAAGAGTTGATACAGCTTTTCGAAATAGTTTTAGTTAGCAATGTTGTTACGTAACGCATTTTTATATAACTTCATATAAAGTTAATTTTTACTCGGTTAACTAAACTTTAAAAATGATTAAAACTTGCATCAGATTTGTCAGTTTAGTACATTAAACAGTTTTTAGGGTTACATTTTTAAAGATTTTGGCTCGTCCATGTAAATTTATTACTGTTGTCAGTAATATTATAGTTTTATACATCAAAATACTATCACGACAGAGATATGAGCATTGTTCTTAGGTAACTGATATTTATTTGTTAATACATTTACTAATTCATAATCACTTGACGGAATTTAAGATGTTTTAAAAGTAATTATTTCAGGTATACAATACCTACCTAAATGTGTAATCACAGACCATAAATTTATTTTTATCATTTTACTATACCTATAACTATACAACTTTAAATGGAAGATGCCTATAGATTAATGTACATGTTAAGAAATTATTATTCGTGATAAAATAATTTAAGTTGTACAATATTAAATATTATTATCTAGCTGGTACTTACAGATTACAATTTAATTTGTATTTACTAATTTAAGATTTTTTTACACTGTAGTCTGTGTTAAAAAGTTTTCAAATTTAATACAAAGTTATCACAGTATCACCCATAAGTGGTTCATACTGAAATTAAAATATCTAAACAGTTTATAGGCATAGTCTTTTTTTTTTAAAACACCAGAAATTCAATTTTAAACGAAATTACATAGTTAAACAAATAATAACTATGTTAATTTTTTTTGTCGTCAATCGTCATTCATACATTTTATTCTTAAAATGTTTAACTTTATTCTGAATCTTACTGTGCACAATCAAATTTTCAAAATATCATGTAAATTAATTTTTAGTTATTACTACGGCTGACATTTTAATGCTCTAAAAAATCTCAAAAATGCTTTTAAAGAAATATGCAAAAATGACTTAAAAAACTTTAAAAAAAACTAGAGTAGTGTTTTTTTTTTTTTTTATGTTTCTATGTGTAGGCTATATTTAATACGAAACTGATACATTACGGTATCTCGTAGTTTATTTTTATTATTTCATCATTTATTTTGTCATTTAAAAATGATTGATTTTTTTTTTTTGATATTATTAAGAATAATTTAAGAGCATCACCAACATATTTAACAACAATTTATCACCCTTTAAAAAACTCTAGTTTTACCACGGGGTAAATTATAATCCTTACACTGTAGTTACACCACAATGTATTTCAATTAGAAACCACTAGAATGGTATAATTATTGTATAAATATTATATTATTATTATATTCGTTATTGGTACAAAAACTGAAAAACATAATTCGTGTTTATATAAAGTAGTTTTTATTGATTTTTTATTATTACAATTAGAAAAAAAAAAAAATTAAATGTTTTCGACACGATAATAATAATTCAATGATTGTTATTAATAGTATAATAGGTACATGTAAGCTTGGTAAGCGCGTCTTACTAAAAATCTTCGGTACAAAGTCAAAATGTATTAAAAAGAAAGATTGAGTTCAGCTATTGATGTGATTGCGTTATTTGCAGCACTGTTCGGATTTTCCCAACAATCCGTTACAACGACGCCAAGTTTTGACTCTCCAACCGGGTCCAAGTATGTTGCACCAGTCGCCAGATGAATGTGCGTGACAGTCCAACCAGCGGCACTCGGCATCGATCATTGTGGTTACGACCAGCAAAACTATAAGTCGAAAAGCATACGTGTTAGATAAGTATATAGGTACCTACTTTATGTTTTACTCTCACATTGTACGGAGAAAGTGTAAATAATTTTAAGTCTGATAAAATAATAGTTTGGCTTTTACTGATAAATGATAATACATCAGGCGTACATGCGTATATTATCATCGGCGCAAACGAGAGGGGCTAGAGAGGCCAGAGGGCCACCGAACTACGCGTATTTATTATTTATTAATTGTTAATTGGTATTATTGAGAGAAAAGTTCATTGAAATCAAATATTAATAAAAATCAATGTAGTTTGTATTATACATAATATCATCAAAACGTCTTGTCCACGTCATAGATATTATAATTCCTTTGTAATAGGGACAAAAAATTAAAACTCATAAAAATATTTAGCTATAGCATGCCCGTTTTGTCGTTAAGTATAACAAATTCATAAAACCCATAATATTTTATGATAATATGTATTGATTTGAAATTGTATTTTTTTTTTAATTATATTTAATTTAAAAAAAAAAATAATCTCATACTTTGAGTTTGGCGGTTTTTATTATAACGTACCTACTGAAAACAGCTTAACATATTTAAATGTTAAAGTTTTTGGATACGATTTAAATTTATACTGATGTGATGCCGTAAGAACTTTAGATGAACTTATAATCGAGTTGTGCACATGTTATTTCATAGTTTTAAATGTATAATCTTTAAAATGTTTCTATAATAGTCAAGAAGTAGCGAGCTGAAACGAACATTTTATTTATTACGATACCTATGTATTACCCTTACTTGAGTAAAGAAATTCCTAGGCCCCCAATGCTTAACTACACTTAACATATCTCAGATTAGTTATTTTTGAAATACTTATTGACTCGAATTTATTAATGTTGGATAGACAGATTTCTTAAAATGGTTTTTAAAATTAATATGGTCAAATTGTATTCAGTAGAATATTCATATATTTAAATATAATTTTTTTCATAAAAACAATGAAAAATATAACCACAGTACTAAATATTAAAATAAATTATAAATTTCCATTAATATTTCTAAAGCTTTAATTGATGTTTTTTAATCATAAATATTTATATTGTTGAAGTTATGTAAGTATAGTATTATTCTTTTATTTATAATTATAAATTCAACTATTTTGCAAGACAAATTTTAGATAATTATCGGATTATCTATCTACCTAATATATATAATAATTCTAATTTTCATAATTAAGTATAATTCTTTTTTTAAAAACCAAGTTCCTAATCGAGGGTCATTCTACTGTACCTATTGGTCTTAATGTAAAACTTAAAAAATAACTGCTGGCTATACCTAATTATTACTTTTTGAGCATTTATTAGTTACAATATGTGTGACATTAAAATGATTACATTTTTAATAAAAGTTAGATGTTAAAATTTATGATATGCTTATATTATATTATACACGATACACACTATAGTCATCTACGCATTAAAGTGGATATATGTATATATATATATGTTTAACTGTATAAGTACTTATAAAGTAAGAAAATTTACAAATTGATTTATATATTTTGTATTTAGTTTGTACTTACCCAACGCGACGGCCAAAAGAATTAAAGACAAGTTGCGATTCATGTTGATATTTGAGTTGAGTTTCAAGTGGTTAATCTTGGATTGTAAGTTTCAAGAGCTCTGTCGACAGTCGGCAGTTGGCAGTTGGAAGGTGGATTGTTTTTCGTAGTGTTAGACTTGGGTCTTATATAGTACTAGTACCTATAGATATTTGATTATTCATATCAGGCGTTGGTGGTAGGTAGTGAAATATTACCGGTTGTTAATCAACGATAATAATCATTTTTGACTTATGGTAATCGTAATAATTTATATGATTCTTGCGTCGCGTGTAGTTAAACGTCTAGGGAATCCCGATAAAAAAATTAATGATATGTAAACAGAATATTAAACGTTATTATTAATCAATTGAGATACTAAAACTACGTAACAAATTCCAAAGATCGCAGTATAGTAAATATTAACACGCATTCACGTGTTTATATCAATAATATTAATATTGTAGGTAAAACCCATAAGTAATGGTACTATTGACCTAATAGTATTTGAAAGTTATTATTTATAATTATTTTTAGTTAATAAGGTTAAACATCTACAGATTATGAGAAAAAAAACCATACAAAAAAACAGGATCATATAATTACCTATGCGATTTTCCATTATTTATTATAATATTATTATTATTAATAAGTAAGTACATATATATATATATATATATTTAATATTGTATTATAAGTTAAAATAATATTTAATAAAAATATGTTATTGTTTTATACATTTTTATTTTAATCAAAACAATACAAATATTTGAAGTATTGAAATATGCATAATACATTACATCTGTTTAAAAACATAATAAGATATTTAATAATTAGATAATTATTAATTTTTACAATTGATATTGCCATATAGTCATACTTAAATTATTATTTAATAGATACTCCGATATCTGTTGTAGCTGTTTTCTTAAAGTATTCCAGAGATGGGACAATAGAAGTGTATTTTATTAATATTAGGTATATATTATATATATATATATGTACATAAAATACTTTTTTTTATGTCTAAAGACACTTTTTGCAGCAAAAACAAAGATTAAATCTAAAATACTTAGATTGAGTTAGATTGGTTTCTAGTTGAAATTGAATTTAGCTTATACTTTTCATAATAATCATTTAAAAACTAAAAAAAGTTGAGGAAAGATGGGGACTTTTTGTTAACATTTATTTTAAATTAAATCGTATTTATTTTTTCATAGTAAAATGAATAACACTAGAGACTCGGATATTTGTAGGTAATTAAAATTTATATTATCGTTTTCTAAATCCCATTTTCAAAATATTTTTTAACTATTTACAGACATTTTTGACATTTTTGATTTTTATTAATTTTTTTCGATTTATGTAACTATTGGTAATATTTTCCATTCTAAATAAAACACTTGAAAATGCAATACTAGGTTTTACATAAGTTATTCTTGTAAGTTGTAACATTTGGAAAATGTCGAGAATTGATAGTCATAATTTTAATTTTTTTTATGCTTTAAAACATTTGACAAATTTCGTCAACACCACGTGAATTTGCATATTATTTTACTCTCAAAATTCATATATATGAATGTATATTAATACATTAGGTTTAAAAATTTAATACATGATTCCTCATAAGTTTTTCCTTCTACATTTTAACAGTATCAAAAATACATGTTATGTTTATTATATTGAAAATAATGTTTATAAAGGTTAGAAGTTAAATGTGTATTTAATTTATTATTTTGTAATTATAAACAGATTAGGAAATATATTGTACATAATTAGATATTTGAATAAAAAATAACTATTTTATTGTACTCGTAGTTAAAAGAATAGACTTGAAACTTTTCACCATTACATGTATTATTATTTTCTACGCATATTTTGTTAATTTTAAAATATGATATAGATAATAAATCATTTTATTTGTTATGGGTTGGTGGGTGGGTGTCGGGTGAGTGTCGGGTGAGTAGTAAATTAGAATACTGAACTTTTCAGTTCCTTTACTAAATGTTAGGAATAATAAGAATATAAATATTTTTTAAGAGTCTAAAGTAGGTTCAATCGAAATAAGTTTTATTTTGTAAACCATTTATTTATTTTTTATTTGATAAAATATAATAATAAACTACAAATAATTATCTAAATGTAATGTATAGGCGTATAACTAATACCTATTAGCGTTTAAGTTGATGAAGATGTGGATATAGAAATTTGTGGTTTATTGAATATTTTAAAATGTCATGGTGTTTAATAAAATAATAATATACATGCTACTACGTTACTAATGGAAAAAAGTTTCAAATTTCAATACGATTAGTATTTTTTGAATTCCAGTAAAATATCTAAAGCCTTTTTCGAAAAACTGTTATTTTCCGTTTAAATATTACAGTATTATACGTTTTCCTAAAAACATAAATTTCAAATTCAATTGCTTGGAAACAAAAAAATATTCCTATATATTTTGATATATTACTACCTAAATATTCCGACAAGAATAACTAATGAGTTGTTAAATTCAAGTTTGAAATAGAGTATTATATTTAATTAGATTATCAATGACTTATGAAATAATCGTCAAGTACATAATTACTTATTTCTTATATTTTAAATAAATCAGAGTGATTTAAATAATTAAAAAAAAAAAAAAATTAAACGTTTTTCCTTTTTTACAAATAAAATATAATTAATTTATCTTCATCAAGTTATCATATTAATGTTTGACATTGATTTTAATATAAAAATCATTGGTGTCACAATTTCAATAAAAAGTTTGAGAGTGTTGAAGTCACTTATTTTTTTCAGTTTTTTTATAAGAGTCATACATAATGATGATTATGTTATTGTAAAAACGAGGCATGCGCGCCAAACTGCGTTTTTGGAAATCACAAAAATCTACGTTAATAACATATTATTAATGTCTATGTGAAATATTTTTTTTTTGAAATTATTTTAAAACTTTTGATAGAGCTTTTTATTCATAGTTTTAGCGTATTATATCAAATAGGTAATATTTATACGTTATAAGTGACATGACCGTTTTAAATTTCCAAGCAAAATATGTCATTGTTTATTCTGTTTAAGGACATTTACTTATATTTATATTTTGAAATAACAATTAATGTATGTTTATCAAAGTTACCATTTAATGATTGGTCACATTTATTTACTTTACAGGTAGCATAAGTAAAAGCTTAGGTAAATTTAAACATCGGTATCTTCGTAATAAATAATTATTATTCCTTAGACAAGTGTTAAGTAATAACTAATAATTAATGATGTTAAACTTATGGAAGTAGTATTGTAGACAAACCTGTAAGCCTACACAAGTTTTGTTACTTAGAAATGATAAACTCGTTTTTGTACATGGTAATTATACTTATTATTTATAATTTATAACTACGTTTATTCATATATTGTATGGCGCGTGCCCTTCCGATGGATTTTTATGTAATATAAATTATAATAATATATAGTGGCGTAAATTCAATGAAAATCTGGGGGAGCTTTCAACCCTTCTATTTTTTTCATGTTATCTAGTAGTTATGAATACCGGAACCTTTAAAATTTCATATTTAATATTGACTATGATGTAAAGACTAAAGTGTAGGATAAGTATATTATAATTTAATTAATTAATTAGCGCAATAACTAACACACGAACGTTTATTTTTATATTATAATTTGAATTTATAGGTCACTCTAATATTATTCTCCTTCCAGTTTTAGCAAAAATATATATCGCTTCACTTTTTAATTGTATTTGTTAGGCAATTATTTATTATCATTATCTATAATAAAATTATACTAATAATATAGTGCATTGGGTTTTTCACATTGCAAATGCGCACTTCGATGTTTTTGCCGAATGGCAGTCCGAACGGGTGCTTATCGCCACCTCTACGTTAACATCAAATAATCTAAACTCAAATTGTTCAATTTTATTTTTTATTTTTATAAAAAGTGATTGCAGTATTACACGTTATTCTATTACCGTTTGCATACAGTATACACAAACGTTTCATCACACAATCAAATAAAATAATACGATAAAAACCCTGTTTTTCTATACAGATCAACTGACAACTACTTATTAAAATTAACATGAACAAATTTGGACGTGCTAACGCAGTTCAACATTAATCATCAACGCGAGCGAATTCAAGTATACAAATATTAACAGTCATCTTCATGTAGTTAAGTATTATTTTAAATAAATTGATAATTATTTTAGATATACAAACCAAACGTGTCTTTTTTATTGATATAAAAACTTTTTGCGCAAGCGCTCACACCTCCAGCTAGGGAAAACTTATCCGTAAGGAATAGAAATCCTCCCCTAGATAACTAATATCGTAATAAGGTTACTCAATAACGTTACAGTACCCATAAATAATATTGGTTCTATATTATTTTATTTATATATTGTATATTATTCTAGTCAGATAACTTATTTGAGATAAGTGAGGTAACCACTTAGGGTAGGCATCTTTGTCGTGGTTACCGCCATTAAATTCTACCCCATTAAACTGTTGTGTAATTAGTAAATGAATAAATTTAGATTTTAGCGAGAGTGTTTACTGGCAATATCATTAAACGTCATCGATTTCGAATCCATCATGATTCATGATAATATATTCACATGCAGTGTTAGAGTTTTACTGTAATACATCAAGACCATCGAACGTAGAGTACAATCTATAAAATATAAACTTAGGTACACCGTACATAATAAAAAAATAAAATAATACTATTTTACATTTATTTATGTATTAACACTAACGACAGTGATTCAAATATGGAAAATATATAAGGAAAATAGTTTTCAAGGACGCCTATATAACAATATTAGGTGTGTAAAAAAACTAAATGTTAATGAACCAAGTTAGTACGCAGTAAAAACTTTTATTATTAAAATATTAAAAACAAATAAAAAAATATTAAATTGTTTTTATTTGCAGTAGTTGGTTTTTCCAAATGATCCTAATGACGTACTCAATGAAAACGAGTTACTCCATTGATTATGCGCAAGTCGTCGAACTAGTGGCTTTCGATGTTTCTTGCGGCGACTACAACCTGCTAAATTGCATATTACGTGAATAGAATTTTTATCATTTGAGACCAACGATTTACTGCTTTAAGGTTTGTAATATTATAAATTATTATACTAAATTAACCAAAATTTTATTTTTATTCTATTTCTAAGAATTTTTCTTTTTTTAAGTAAATTACTTTAAATTTATCGGGCCATTATAAATATCAAAAGCTGCATAAATAATTAAACCAAGCGGAGTCTATAAATTGCATCTCCCAAAAAAGTTCATAGTCATATACTATTATGTAAATTGTGGCCCATGTACTTTTAAAACATATGCAAATTGCGGCTCGTGTATTTTTATGACATACGTAAATTGCGACCCGGGATATACCAATTTTCGGTCGGCTGCACAATTTAAAGATTGGTAATAACTAATAACTAATAATCTACGATGTAGATATCAGCTTTAGAAGTCAGGGAACAAAAAGCAAAAAAATGACTGAAAAGAAACATTTATACATGAAAAAATGTATGAATTGCAATAATAAAAAAAAAAAAAAAATTACTTGGTTAGACTAAGCGCGGAAATTATCTTACAAATTTTTACTAGTTTCTTAATTACAATTTTTTTTTAATATTATATATTTTAATGATACACATTTTTACCTAATAATCTATTAGTAATTGTTAATGATACATTTTTTGATTATAAACAAAAACAGCAAAACTAATATTACCATATCAATACTTAAACAATTATATTGTCAGTCCTAAGTCTGAAAAATGGGAAGGAAAATATTGATTTTAATAAATAAATTGACTTCGTACAAATTATACCTCGGCCGCAATTTACATTTACGTATGTATAAAATATACCCGCGTCGCAATTTACACAAAAAATTAAAAATGGAACGCAATTTACACTATTTACAGTGACCCAAATCAAGCTACACATCATACATTTTATTTTTACGTTTATTGTTTCTTTTTTCAGTAAAAAATATTACTGACCATGGGCATAATGAGCCATCCAAACGTAATTTTATAACATAACTGTTACATTTCATACACAGCTAGTTAACTTTTTTGGTACAGTTGCCGTTGAATGAAGTTTTTGATGATGGAACAATTGGAACATATTGTATTGTTAATTATGATGTAATAGCGAGTATAATAAGCGAAGTAACAACAAAGTTTAAATAATAAACATAAAATAGTAGGTATCAAAGTGGATAACGTATTTTACAGATACAACCCGTGCTAACGGCATAATATGCTTATGGTGAATAAAATAAATAGGTATTGCATTTCGGTCGAGTGTAAAGTAATCGTATTCGTTCTGTGTCAACTAAAATTAGTCACGGAACAAATTTTAAAACAAAACAATTAAAAACCGAATTTAACAACGCGGCCGTGCGACCTGTGAACATGACCGTTAAATTACAATTTGCTCCGTTATTACATTATAATATAATACTATATGTATATGTATGATATTATACACACAATCTCACACAGGAATACAGATTAATTAAGATGTTAGAGTAAATTTTTAAATTTTGTGTATAAAAAAAAAAAATAAAAAATAAAAATTTTATCGTACGTATGCTAAAATCATAATATAGCTTACAATTATTAGCTAAACGGGATGAATATATGAACATTAAAATAATAGATAATAAGGAAAAAACGATTTCTATTTTTACACGAGTACGATTACTACCACATATTATATTATATGAACATGTAGCGTTTAGGTTATATTATAACAGCCCAATACTTTTCAAGATCTTAATTTATTACAATAATTTATTCAAATAAATATTTGTATTTCTATTCACACGCAGGGCCGTTATTAGTTATTATTTATTTATTGTATACATATAAAACAAAACAATATTTTCGTATTAAAATTTGATAAGTAATTGTTATTCTATAATATATGGCTATCAAATATTATAATTGCCTATGCACATAATATATATAGTGTATAATATGTACTCGGTGCATAACTTATTAAATTTAAATTTAAATGTAATTATTCTAATTTATGTGCTGTTTGTTTTTAATGAAATTAATATTTTTATACCTTGTTTTGAAATTGATCATAATTATAGTAATTAGGAGGTAGACATATACTACTATTGCCGTAGATACCTGTTGGCATTTACTATAAATTAACTTTTAAACGTTTATTTTATTTATAAATACATAAACAAACAACTATGCCATGGCATTGTTTTTACTTCTAACACGAATTCAATGTAACATAGCAAAAATTATACTATGGTAAAAAAAACCTTTGCATAAACGTATGTTGACGATGATCACGGGTATCCGGCGTGTCAAAGACAATTTATTTACTTGACGGTACAGAGCTTCTGAATACCAGCGTAATCGACGCTTTTTTTTTCAGGCTATTATAACATTATTCGCATATTCATATAACAATAAAGTTTATTATAATTTATTGCTCTCTGGTTATAATATGTAAACGTGTCGTACAATATAAATTCTTAACAATAAAAAATGAATTTTAAATTGACAAATTGAATATAGAATCATATTTGTAGAAGATACTCGTATTTTTCAAGACCGCGATTATAGTTGTAAATATCTTCTGATTTCTTATGAAAATATACGCCAAGTAAAAAAACACTATCACTTTTGGATAAGTTCATCAAGTTGTTGTTATACTCGTGATGCCAGTCACAGTTAATTAATAATATCCTCCGTTTTATTTTGAAACAGCGCGTCAAACAAATCGATAATCTATTCCAAATACAATGTCCATGCTGAACTCGAGACAACAGTAAGCTGCGTCCAGCTTGGAACAAAAATTTAACAAAGTTCATTACTACAAAATGTCCATAGTTTCGAAATTAAGACCATACGATAAATTCCATTTTAATCGTCGTTTTAATCTCAGGTAGTTTTAAACTACCTACATTAGCTAGTATGTTTGGTAAAGTATAAAATGTACATCTCGTGATTTTTTGAACTAATTTTTTTTTTTTTATCAGAAATAAGCCTAAACAGCAATAGCTATTGGCTGACATTTAACATTTTTTTTTTTTTTACGTAATATTAGTTATCATAGTTATAATTTTTTTTTTTTACTGATGTAATGATATTGTACTTAATGCGTAATTATTTAATTAATTATTTAATTAAATTATTTTATGTAAAGGCATCAGTTTATTACCTATAAATACGGAAAAACTAATCAAAGTTGAAACGAGAATGTCAATTTAAAACCTCGGCCGGAGAACAGGATACACGAAAATCGGAAGATATTACAAGTCATCAGCTATTAGACTACCTATTTATACCAATATTTTATTATTAATAAATATTGCTGAGTGCTGACATTTTTGTTTATCCATTTGATATGCCGTATTTATCAATCTGTTATAATCAACTTTTACCAGTGTTATCACATTTGTTGAATATATACAGAGTGATCTATTTGAAACGTATATTATTTCAGAAAACAATGACATTTTTGAAAATAAAAATATCAAAAAAATATACTTTAGTGAACAAAATACATTTTTAATTTTATTCTCCTGAGCAGAATATTATTCTGAGTATTAATTCTATAAAAAATTTGGTCTTATTATAAAAAGTAATTAAAAAAAAAAAGTAATAAAGATTAAAATATTAAAATTTATTTTTTTATAATAATGTTATTTTTAACGACTTAAGATTTGGTAAAATAGATATATTTAAAAACTTTAATAGTTTTACACTGAATAGATTATCTGGTATAATATTATTATTATACATAGGTACATAATATATAAAAAAGAAAATAGCTCCAGTAATCCCGTATATCTGCCGATAAAATGTTATTATTAATTGATAAGTCACTGTTATCCAACAAACTATGATTCAATGATTCAAACCAATTATTTTCGTATTGATTAGAGTCTACAGCGAGATTAAAAATAATTTTGGAGAGGAAAATTGTTCATTGGTTTATTACCCTTTCTCTACATACAATTCGATTCACAGTGACCTACCGGCTATTACCGGAATAATATTTAGTACACAACCGTTTTTCAGTTTGGATGTAATGCAACTATAATACTAGTACGTATGACTTACACCAGTAAAATAATGATAATATTTGTATAATGCATGTACGTTCATGCATTACGATGTCAAAGTGCAAACTACGGACGATTTACAACATCGCACCGAGAAAGGCATTTGTGTCGGTACCTACCTATCAAATGTGACCGAGTCGGTTATACTAATATGTTATCTTATTATTATTTGTTATTACATTAATTTAATACGGACCGTGTGCGTCTCTATACGATTATTATTATTATTATTATTATTATTAATTGAGTTTAATCGGAATGGATATAATATTATTATTGTGCAACTATTTCGTTACCAGACGTGAGATGCGCTCGTCTCGAGATGGACTTTTAATATTGTGTACACATTATTAGTCTACCATTAAAGTGAAATCGACACGGAGAAAAAGCTCGTTTCACTTACAACATCTTATATAAATCAGAAGAAGTTCAGTTTTGTCCGGGATGTCGTTTACGGCGTATGTATCATGTTTGGCGATAGCTTTGCACTTGGCTAATGGAGGATACGTGTACAAAACTGAATATTTTACAGTACCGGTGAGTGTATATCATACGATTTTTACACGGCGATTGATGATTAATACAATTATGTAGTTGAAATCGTTATTGGTAAACACTTGATCAAGAGCAATGAATCAAAAACACAATAAATGGTCAAGAGTAACTGCGTGTTCCGTTTAAATACCTATTACATTAACACACGGCTTTGTATAAGTAGTGTTGTAAAGTAATAGGTAATTTAATATTCATTTATTACTTTCCACAGGTATTTCGGTATGATTTAAATACAAAAGCACTTGTGGAAAGTAATTTCTAAACACTCGTGAAAAGAAAAAAATTATAAAATACTATAATTGTTGTTATTTTTTCAAAATTATCATCACCTACTGACAACCATTAATCTGTCATATCTATTATGTGTTTGGTACTTTTATATTATTAATTTTGTATAGAATTTGTAGATCTTTCAAAAAAGTATTAACACAAATACACTTGTACGTACATTTATTATGTGTATGTCAGTGAGAAACAAAGTAGTTACAGGAACATGACATGTATATAAATTAAAATTCACATTTAATAAGAGCTAAATATTTGGTATAGCTTGTAAAATATTTAAATTTATAAAAAATAAAATATGAAAGTCAAAATACATAATAACAAAATTATTTGAAAAACTATTCAATATTTTTAACATTGAATATACGGTAAATACCTATATTGGCTAATTTACTTTAGGTACTTACATACGTTATAGGTAAGTCCACAATATCGTCGATAACTGGAAACGTACCATATATCGATGAAGTGTTATTTAATTTTAACCATTTAATTCTTTGTTCGTCTAGATTTTGATGTCTTTCAATTACAATCTAATATTCAAAATATACAGAAGTTTTTCCCTTTAATTGATAAAGATTTTAAATGTTTTCAACGTTAAAATTCATAAAAAAAAAAAAAAAAATACTAGAAAAATAAATGGTGAAAATAGTTAATATATATATTTTAAAAGAAAGTAGTACTGTATGTATATAAAACTTAAGTAGGTACCTAAATAAAATAAAACCAATAACTTAAATAAGCTATATTATGTTCCTTGTAGAATAAATCATTGCTAAAACTGATCCATTCTATAATTGTTTTCATTTATCACGAACAGTACAACTCCACTATTTTAAAGACGAAGATAAATAATGATTTGAGTTCCAGTTGTTGAAAATTATTCTTAAAAAAATAATAATTGTAATGAATAGTGTTATTGTATATTTCAGAGTTAAATGATTGACATTGAATAATATTTAAATGATAAATGAATAACCTTTTAAATGTTTGGTTTTCTTCGTTATCTTGAATAAATAATTAAAGTTTGGATAAATTGTCTAAACATTCTATTTTTTTTTTTTTTTTTATCAACGGCGTTAAAATGTAAGCAATCTAAAATTGTTCTGTTATGTAAATAAATACCTTTTGTACAATAAAATTGAAACCATTTAAACAGTTTTTATAATATATTTTGTATTGAATTACAAGCTTTAAATTTGCTTTAGATCACAAGATATTTATATTAGCATGAACTTTAAATGTAATTAACTAATGTATTTAATCATTGGAATGAATGTTATTTACTGTACTACCTACTGTAGTATAAATATAAATATTAACGTCGCGCGAATAGAAAATTAGAATGCATAATGCGTATAATAAGTAGGTACCAGCTATTATTATAAAACAACAAAACCTTTTTCGGATTCAAATGTGTTATACATTATTATTTTGGATAACAATATTTCGTGTAAACGTGTAATATAATAGTATGACATTTTTTTTGTGACTTTATTACAACTTTCGTGGATTCACACATTTTTAATTTTTTTTCTGACAGGTCGACCATTTTAGTTATACGAATAATGATACATTCCGTATGAAGTACCTCATCAACGACACGTATTGGGAACGAGAAAACGGACCGATATTTTTTTATGCCGGCAACGAAGGAGCTATTGAAATGTTTTGTGAAAATACGGTAAGCTTCGACGGGATCGATTCGTGTTTCAGACGAACGAAAGGAAAAGATAAAAAGTCATCAACAGACGATTATTTTTCACTCACGTTCCCCGCATGCAAATCTCCAAACGGTTTCAGACGCTCAATTTTTTTTTCTCTCGTTTAAAAAATGACGTACAGGCGCGTTTTGCGTTTTAGTAAAATAAATATATACGATGTATATTATACGCTCATCGCGATACCGTTTCGCAGGGTTTCATGTGGGAGATAGCCGCAGAGTTCCGGGCCCTGGTCGTCTTCGCTGAGCACCGTTACTACGGCGTTTCGATGCCTTATGGAAATAAATCGTACGACGACGCCAGTCGGCTGGGCTATCTGACCTCGCAACAGGCGCTCGCCGACTACGTGGACCTGATCACGTACTTGCGGCACAACGGGTCGTTTTCGAGCCGAGGCCTGGACGGGGCCGGCGATATCTACGACTTGGACGCCGATGACACGCAACCGTCAAGCAGCCCCAACCCCGTGATCGCTTTCGGCGGATCGTACGGTGGCATGTTGGCCGCCTGGTTCCGCATCAAGTATCCCGCCGTCGTCGAAGGGTTGGTCGTGGTTACATAATAATATAATAATATGGTTATGGTTATTTAAACGTCAGTATTGTCGTGGTGTTAAGTTCGGCTTGCGAGCAGCAGGAATGACCGGAACTTAAGTAAACTATATGTAACGACTCGTACCGTGTGCATTTACTCCCCGAAACTTCTACACAACTCACACTAAGTATTTTTTTTTTTTTTGAGAACTCATATTTTGAGGTTGATATTTTCGTTGGGTTAGGTAGGGTTTGATTTTTTTCAGTTTTCACGGGTTATCGTCGGTCTTATAATAATTCCTGTTTTCTGTGTGGAATGTATATAACTCCCTTATAGAGATGAATGAATATTAATATTAAATATTAATATATTTCTTCATGAATATCATCCATAGAAAAACTATTTAAAACATTTTCTTGATTAATTAACGCTGCAGTTATAGTGAAATTTCAGTTTAATCTTATATTCGATTTAATTTAATTTTAAATAGTTTTTAAGTTCTGATGAGCGCGCGATATACTGTAGAAGACGAAGATAATATATTTATCATACTTATTACTTCCTACAAAGTTTGTAAATAAATCATAACCGGAGGTTAATTGAGGAGTTATAACATACGTACACAAATTAAAAAATTTAATAACCAAAATATGTTATATATTATTAAGTTGGAAATTTAATAGTTGTTTCTTGTAACTTTGTCGTATGCTTTTATAGTGCCATTGCGTCGTCTGCGCCGATATGGCAATTCACTGGTATGACTCCGTGTAACGCATTCTACAGGGTCACGTCATCGGTGTATAAAAATGCAAGTGCCGAATGCGGTTTGACGATATTAGCGTCTTGGAAAGCTATTAACAATGTTACAAAAACGGGTAATGCATAATTTAATATTATAATAAAAAGATAGAGTTCAGCGTTAATTATTTAAATACGTATTTTACATTATATATGTTTTTTAATAAAAATGGATTTATTACGTGTTAATGTATACATGTAATGTAATACATTGTAATTTTGTTGAACGCATTTCTATTGCCAGTTGAAGGGAAGGCATGGCTGTCTCAGAAATGGAAACTGTGCTCACCGTTGACAAACGACAATGACGTTTTGACTTTGAAACAGTGGGTGTCTGAACTCTATGTGAACTTGGCCATGATAAATTACCCATATCCTGCAAATTTTTTAACACCACTGCCCGGAAATCCAGTTAAAGTAAGCGCTATACTTTTTAAATAATTATTTAACTTTGAATTACAATACTATTAAACCACCGGGGATACAAAAGGGAGAATTAAAAGCGTTGGGGGATTAAAAACTTATTTTAAATTGTTTAACAATGCTTAAATAGTACAAGGATTAAACTTTTTGTATATGTATATTAACTAGGTATTATTTATGTGTTCTAATGTATGTTACAGGAAGTTTGTAAGCCGATGAAAAACCATAAAGAAGACGACTTAACGCTTTTGGGATCAGTTTTTCAAGGGCTTAATGTATACTTTAACTACACCGGTACATCTCAGTGTTTGGACATTTTGACCTCTTCTGCTCCTACACTCGGTGAAAAAGGATGGGGCTATCAAGTAATATTTTAATTTTTAATACCTGTCCTATGAAAATACTACAATTAACTTAAGACGACAATCTATGTTTTAGAGCTGCACCGAAATGGTTATGCCAATGTGCTCTAATGGAGTTAAAGATATATTCGAAAAACAACCTTGGAATTATGAAGCTAATGCCAAATACTGTTTTGAAACTTATGGAGTCCTGCCGAGTATTTATGCAATCGAGAAGACATATGGTGGTAAAAACTTAAACGCTGCTTCTAATATAATATTCAGGTAATTATAAAAAAGTTGTAACGTTTAATGGTATTTTATTGTGCAAATCATAACATAATGAGTGCAAAATTGAAACTGAAAGTTTTATTTTAGATAGAAATATTATTGAAAGTTACAAACATTTCTATGATAATAATAAATTAAGTTGTTTTAATAAAACTTGAAAGATTAATTAAATTGTAATAAGTATTAGCGCTTAATTAGTCATCAGTAGATACTGATTTCAGAACTTCGCTTTCTCTCTTTTATGAGTATAACGTTATGTGAGCTTTGTATACAAAAGCATTTAGTCATAATAATAATAATAATCAATAATTATAATAATTACAGCAACGGTTTATTGGATCCGTGGTCGAGCGGTGGAGTGTTGCGAGATATATCGAAAACGGTGCTGGCTGTGGTAATACCAGAATCTGCACATCACTTGGACTTGAGAGCATCCCACCCTAAAGATCCAGAAAGTGTGGTTAAAGCCAGAAGATTCTATAAAAATTGGATCAAAAAATTGATATTTCACTATCAAAAACATCCAACACGAGAACCAAACAACTCGTTCGTCAAGCAACAAATAGTTCTAACTATTTAGAACGATGTTCATCGTAATAACAATATTGATTATGATTCACTATTATGTTGTGTTGTTTTTTAATGATCAACAAATTAAATACCTTAAATCGAAGTTTATACCTATGTGTTTATTTGACGTATTTAATTAAATATTAATAATTGTTTTAAGACAATATTTTACACAATTTTTTTGAGAGTTCAATGCGTATGATTGTGTGTTTAAGTACACAACATGCACTATAATAGTATAATCTAATTATTAAATATTCAATGTATTATCTTGAATTTGTTTTTTTTTTTTTTTTTTGGTTCAAAAATTGAAAATGTCTCAGTAAGACGTCTAAGATGAAATGCCTGACTTGGGATTATGTAATGGATTTATTTTTAGTGTTTTATTAGTAGCACATAATATGCAATTGTTAGAATAGGCCATCGAGTTGGATTTAACGTACTCACACAAAAAAGTAAATCTAATACATACATTGTTTATACGTCATATCATATTATTTTCGAGTGTTTCTATCTTGTCGTATAATATATTTACACAATTTAAAGAACTAATAACTAATCTAATCAGTTCTGTTATTTTTAAGTAATTGAAAAATACCAAACTTCTCGTTCAAATTTATATTGTAACTGTTCCGTGCATCACGAGTGAAGACAACTAGCTAGGACATAGACTTATAAGTACTCATATCTATACGTCGTCGAGCAAAACCACTATCAAATATATTATTATGGCTATTAGTTAATAACTCGAATTTAAATTTGATTTTCATTTGGTCCAAATTTGATTTTATATTTGTTAATTATTGCTGTAAGTTCATTTTTAACGATATCAATATGTTCATTCTTGCGTGTGCACAACTGTTGATGATAATTTTCCACGTCACCTGTGGCTATTATTACACGACTAATTATATAACCGTACCGGTAAGTAAAAACATAATAAATTAATAATAAGAATAAGAATAAAAATGAAAAATGATTGTCATATCTTAACAACAATTAAAATCAAAATTATTAATATTTTTTCATAATTATTATTTAGTGTTTAAAACGTTCTAGATAAGAAAAAAACACTCAACTTTTTTAAGATTTAAATCACATTGAATCTAAAAAATAAATAATAATATTTTTTGAAGTAGTTTATAATTTTTAATCATGCATGCGCATTGTAAATGTTGTACCATATAAAATTTTATTATGTTTGATTATTGATTATTTTTAAAGTATTTCTAAGAAATATTGATGTTTGAATAAACTTTTCAAGTTCAAAATGTGTTAAGTCGTAATATCTGTTTGAATTTTGATTTAATACGTCAACGTCATATATTTTATAGTTGAATGAGTGGTCTCTAATAAATTCTTTTCACTTATATTTTTAAATAAAGATCATCACCACATCCATATCAATCGATTTAGGAACAGAAATTCACTTTCTTAATTTTTTTATAACTAAAGGATTTTGTCTTAAAATAACGAACGAATGATAAATATGATAGAAAAAAACAAGGAATTATGGTATTAAGTAACTAATCTAACTAAAATCTCCCGAGTTCAATTACCTACTATTTAAACCACGAATAGTTGAATGTGTGTTAAAATAATCGATTATTTTTAAAATTTAAATAGATTAACTTTGTACTTTTATCAATAGTAACCTATATAAAATGGTGTAAAATTATACATAACCTATGTCCTAATTGATAGGTTATAACTAGGGCTCAGATTTTGTAGCAAAATAAATTAAATTTTCAAAAAAAATAAGTAAAAATTCAGAAAAAAGAAGTAAATAGGGGTAAAAACAATAAAAAACAAGTTTTGTGGAAAAAAGCAAAAAAAAAAAAAAGTAAAAAAAAAGTTTACTTCATTGAAATCAGAACGATTCAAAACGTATTTATATAATATAATAATTATCTTTCTATTACACTCCCCTCAAAAGAAGCATTTGTTACAAAATTCGTGCCTTAGTTATAACTAACATTATATTTTTAAATGTTATTAATAATTAAATAAAATACAGCAGTGTAAGAAAATAAAATACAAAGTATATAGAAATAGTTGAACTAGACACATAAATCATGATATGAATATATAATACATAATAATGTATTCTTTTTTTTTTTACCATAGGTTGACCATTTTAGCTATACCAACAATGATACATTTGAATTGAAGTATCTTATGAATGACACGTATTGGGATGTCATTAACGGTCCGATATTTTTTTATGCCGGCAACGAAGCACCAATTGAAAATTTTTCTGAAAATACTGTAAGCTTTTATTTTAACTCTTTTTAGAAACGATGCGGTACATGTTAATTTTTGATTTTAAGTGCATATATTATATTACTATACCCTCCTTTCTCTGGGTGTGCAAGTCGTGTGTTAACGCCCTATAACACTCGTGTGTGTTTAATACTTTTATGTATGTACATTATTTCATAATTTTATTTAAAAAATATCTTATTAGTTATCGTCTTAGAGATACTCTATTATCTATAAATACAATAATACAAATAATAAGCGGGTAAACTATTTTTAATTCAAAACGCGACCGTGCGCGCGCCGTCAACAGTTACGACCGACGTTAAACTTTTTCGACTCCGTTGCAAGGGCGGATCCAGCATGTATTTACAGTTGGGGCACTTTATAGGAAAATTTTTATGATATAGATAATATATCCCCCACAAAAAAAAAAATTTCGATACTAAAATTTTTATTTTTTTTTCCACCAGTGCCCCCCCCCCCGATCCGCCCAACGGAGTCCGTTGTGCCTAAAACTTAAATATCTGTAATCGTAATTTGTCGTGATATTGACGGTTAATTTCGGCGCGATGTTACAAGGTCTAAACGTTGATAATGAAATTAACGGGCAATACGGAATTGGTTCTCGGGTCAAATAAAAGTGTACGAATTGGTTCCCGAAAAAATTACATTAAAGTATACAACTGTTCGAATTGGTTCTCAAATAAAATTACTTATAAGTGGGGCCAGTATTTCATTGTAAAATGCATCTTTTTTTAGTTAATCTTAGATAATACTTTCTAACTTTATAATTTGATTCATGTAACAGAGACTTCAAAGGTGAAATTTTTATTTTGAATTTTTTTGCTTTTTTTTGCATATTTCAATATTTTTTCATTTTTAGAGCATATGTTTTAGCATTTTCGATCATTTTTTCTTTTTTAATGCATATTTGTACAATATACGAGTATAATAAATAGTATTTATACATATAACGGTCATAGATTAAATATACTTAGAATATTAAATCTATGATACGACTTATTTTTCTTATCATGAAAGCTTGCAGGAACCAATTCGTATGTTACCTGTAGATAACTCGGGAACCAACTCATAATATGTTACCTGTAGACAACCCGAGAACCAATTCGACAATTGGGAACCAACTCGTAGTCGTCCAAATTAACGAGTAGATAACGATTAGGTGTAGTGATTACTGATTAGGCACTATAATAATAATTAATAGCCATTAGCCGGCAGCCGATTGTCATCATTGTGCGCCCGTGTCAATCTATTTATAGATATTTATCAGTCCTTCTATACGTAATAATTGATAATTAAAAACTTATTTATTTTTGTATTTAAAAAACTATTATTATTGATGACAATACTATATTGCAGCGTAATGTATACAGCAGTATAATAAATAGTATAGGTATAAGTATTGTTTTTTTAAATTTTATATCGAGGTATTTTAATTAAAACTTAAAAGATAGGTAAGTATAATAAATAATTTTAGTAAAAAAATTAAGTATAAAATAAAAATATAAGTGTTGATATTGTATTATTATTTTCATAAACGATTTTCTAATGCAGCGGTTGTCAACCTTTTTTTCGTTCCGTACCCCTAAGTTTAATATTTTATTAGATTGTACCCCTCATTATAATTTTTAAACTTTTTCACATAGCTACTTTTAAAATATTTAAATAAAAAATAACAAAAAATTCTATGTTACATCCTATAATCCTTGTCTATTGGATAAGTTGACGGTTAAGTTTTAATTTTTGATACAAATTTTTATTTTTAATAACATATCATGAATATTTTCGAAATTAATTGTTTTAAATAAATATATTCAACATTTTCCGCCATTAGCCAATTTTTTTTTCACGTACCTCTTGAGATGATGTCGCGTACCCTAGGTTGAGAACCGTTGTTCTAATGCATCACACAATAACACTTAGTGTCTAGTTACCCAAGTCAGAAAACACCACTGCAGATATCTACTAATATTGAGTCATAGACTTGAGGGAACGTGTTACTTAAGGTATTGCTGTGAATCTAAAACAGATTTATTTAAATAACATTTTGAAATACGGCTTTACATTTATCTCGTATACAGAATTTACCAAATTTAATAAAATTAGTAAATAAGTTTTTGAGTCTTCTTATATAATAAAACACTTATAATTTCATATGCGAATTGCCTTACATGTAATTCGTATCTAACGATTTTCAACTTTTTAATTCTGGCAATTGTACCTCTTGTTGGAACCATCATTATTGCGATATCGACATATTATGGTATTTTGTATGTATGTACGTAATATGTATGAATTTGCGTATGTATTAATAATAAAATAATTGTAACACCCGGCGCCCTGAATAGGCAATTTAGTTTTAACAGTGCGGTCATGGATTCTTTTTACCGATAGTTGTCATAATATTATTATTAATTTCCTAATGCGTACAATAAAATAACTCAATATCATCGCTTAATTTACTGAGCGATTGTTTATTTTTATCGATTATTAACAATTTTCCGCACACCTACATAGTTCCACGATTTATTGAAATGGAATTGGTGTACGCAAATAGTTTGACGATTTCACACTCACACTTGTCATCTGACCGTCAGTCGCAATACGAACACAGACATAACCATCATTCTTTCATCGTTATTAAATACACAACTCATCAGTGTTATGTTACTCAATAGCTTTCGTTTATTATCATTATTACTACAACAATGAAGTTAAGTCTAAATGTTTTTTTTTTAGTTTTTCTTTTTTTGCTGAGGGATGAACATAAATCAAATTTTGTTAACCAACTGTATAAATGTATATCCTTATGATTCATAAAATTC